TTCCAGAGCACCAATATTCGGAAAAAGAAAAAAGAGAGTCAAAGGAGGAAGTTCCATACATCCTACATAACAACTCATTCTTACTCATCCAAGACCTTGCTGGAAGATTCGCTCAGATATTTGAATAGCTAAATCACTTTTTTATAACATGGAGAATGAATTATGACTTATCAGATATACTTAAAACGCAGCTTACAAACAAGTGTTTAAGACTGACAAAAACCACGGGGTATTCTTAACAGCTTTACAAGCCAATTGCAAGAGCTCTGAATATTGTTTTTCCCAGTATTTCTTTCATATCCCACAGAGTTCATTAGGAGCTCCTTGTCTGATGCTGCTCTTAACCACTAGGAAAGCCTGGTTTTAGAGAGTCAGGCTGCAGTGAAAAATACCAAGAACGTTTCTGTTTGCGGTCTTAATTACTCACAACCAAGTTTACTACTGACACAGATTTATCAACTGCCAATCCTGCAAACCCACTCATACGAACAATTAAAAAAAAAAACACCTAAAAGAAACAAAACCGCCCTCCCGAAGAAAAAAAATCCAGCAAAAACAGGCTTGTCAAAAAAACCTAAGCATGCTCAGCATTAGGCTCACCCTTCCCTTGCAAATACTTTGGAAATTAACTAAAAGAATATGGAAAATTCTTTACAAGCGATGCAAGATAACACTGGTCCAATGCGCATGTGCATTCTTTTTATTTCTATACAAAGTGAAAACAAATACCACACAGAAAACAGCAGACTACAGGGGTTCTTTTTTAAAGAAAGAATTAGGGTAATTGTTTCAAGATGGTGTTGTGAAAACAGAAAAGATGACTTTCTGTAAAAGAAATTACGAAGCAGTTATTTCAGGTTCAGACCAGGTACACTGTCTGGATTTGCAGTGAAAATTGATTAAGAAGAAATCACTGATAATCTATTAAAAATAAGCAGAGCCCTACTGCCATCCAGCAGGATGAACTGATAGGATTTGCACTCAGCAGAGAACCCTGCGTGTAAACTATTCCCATCGGGAGTCACTGAGACAAACAAGACTTCACGGTGCTACTTGTAATCATTTCTAGAGCAGAATTAGTTCGCCAAGAAGCTCCTATAGTTTTCTACTGTTTTTTCTAGAAGAAATCGATGCAAACAGCAGGTTTCTGGTCAGCCAGAGAATCTACACTACACGGAGTGCTTGTGGCAGCCTCCACCTGGGAGTATGGCAAAGACAAGCTCTCTAGCAGCTTCTGTTCCTCTAAACGAAGACAGCAACTCATCTCTTTGGAAGAAGAAAGATTGGGGGGGGTCTGTAGCACTCATTGTCATAGCAGAAAGCAGTTTTTGTCACATAAAAAGCCTGGAATACGTCCCATAACTGAAGGAACTTTTCCCCTCAGCATTTCTTCAGAGCACAACCTAGATAAGATTTACACCGAGAAACATTTTTGAATGCTTTAACAGCAAACAGGTTAGTGCATTTTCCTTGCTAATGCTCCCTAATGCAACAAGTACACTGGTTTACATTCTGTTAAAAAAAAAAAAAATCCCTATAGAACAAGTCATTCAAGAAGCCACATAAATTATTTCTTAGCACTTCTCTGCACACAGACAGGAGAAGTTTCAGCCATTTGCAACAGCATGTTTTAGTTTTGAATACCTGATGCCAAAGATGCTTTTTTTTTTCTCTCTGAATTCATGAAATGCATCAATATTACCATGACAGGAGTCATTCCTCTCTTCAAGCTGAAGGATTTGACATTTATCTCCTTCCGAGTTGGTGACTCAAACACTAATCCTGCATGTAAATACAGCTAAGATTTATCCATTGTAGAAGCAGCAGTCACTGGGCGTTGCCTTACAGCATACGGTGACGAGCTTCTGTTAGACAGCTCTTTACCCTCCATTTCATCATCTGAGATATCTTCCTCATCTGCTTCTTGCTCTTCATCCAGCTTTTTCAGCAGCTGAGCTGACTCTGGAGCTAGCTTTCCTTCAGGAGAAAGAAAAACATGCATGCACAAATAAATGCCATTACCATGTGAAATATTTTTTTTTTTGTAACGTCACAGGCTATCACAGAATTTTTATGAATTTAATCCAGGTAACACTTTCTACTATCAGTCACTTGAACTTCTATCTTAGGTAGGAATTGTTGCTACCATGAAGTTACCCACAGATCAACTATTAAGAGATTACAGACTACCTAGACAAGGTAACACCCCCCAGCTTTAAAAAAAATAAGTCATGTTCCTACATACCATAAACCAAGCATTCAGATCTTCTTCCATGACTTTTTAAGACTACCTTAAAAAAAAGTCCAGAGGCAAACTCCAAACAGAATCACTTACTATCCACAGAAACGGAAATTTAGTTTTAATCTTCACTTTGCTCCTAAAATTTATGCAAACCCCCTGTTCAGCAACAGGGAGCTCCACTCAAAACTCATCTCCCTGCACATATGGAATTTTCTATCTTGCAGGTATGAAAATGCTGTAGAAACATCTCCTAAAAAAGTTTTGTAATAGTTTAGCTTCAGCTAAATACAAACCCACTACAAAGCCTAAGGGCAAACAGCTGCAAGTAAAGCAAAGCATCAATCACAAGTGTGAACTTCTTCACTAAATCTCACATCCTGCAGACACAAGTTACCTACTGGTATTTATTAAATAAGATTTACCAAACAGCTTCACTGACTTAGAAGCATACAGCAGGCTTACTTGAATGAGGGTACTGTGGTGGTCTGTGCCTTTTGGATGGACAGATACAGTCTGCCAAGAACACCATTATCTGAAACCAAAGACAGACAAGTTTAAGCCTCCAAACATCCTGCACATTAGAATTAAAGATTCATTCAGAATGGAAAAGACTCTTAAAAGATCGAGTTCAACAGTTAACCTGGTACTGCCAAGTCCACCACTAAGCCACATCCCTAAGTGCCACACCTACATGTCTTTTAAATCCCTCCAGGGATGGGGACTCCACCACTGCCCTGGGCAGCCTGTTCCAGTGCTTGACAACCCTTTTGGGGAAGAAATTTTTCCTAATATTCAATCTAAACCACCCCGGCACAACTTGAGGGTGATTCATCTTGTCCTATCACTTGTTCCTTGGCTCAAGAGACTCAGCCCCCCTCTCTGCACCCTCCTGGCAGGGAGTTGCAGAGGGCCAGGAGGTCTCCCCTCAGCCTCCTCTTCTCCAGACTAACGCCCCCCCAGTTACCTCCGCCGCTCCCCAGCAGATCTGTGCTCCAGACCCTGCCCCAGCTCCGTTGCCCTTTTCTGGACACGCTCAAGTAATTAAATAATTGATAAAGATATTAAACAGAACTGGCCCCAGTACTGAACCCTGGAGAACACCACTTGTGACCAGCCACCAACAGGATTTAACTCCATTCACCGTCACTCTCTGGGCCTGACCATCAGCCAGTTTTTAACCCAACAAGAAAACATCCACAGCCTTTCCCTCATCCCCTAAGCAGGTCACCCTGCTGTAGAAGATCAGGTTAGTCAAGCAGGACCTGCCTTTCATAAACCCATGGCTGACCAGGCCAGATCACCTGGCTGTCCCGTACATGCCATGTGGTAGCACTCAGGATGATCTGCTCTACAACCTTCCCCAGCACCAAGGTGAGGCTGACAGGCCTGGAGCTCTCCAGATCCTCTTTCCAGCCCTTCTCGTAGCTGGGTATCACATTTCCCAACCTCTAGTCACCTGGGACTTCCCAGTGAGCCAGGACTGCTGATAAATGATGGAAAGTGGCTTGGTGAGCACTTCCACCAGCTCACTCAGCACCCTTGGCTGGATCTCACCCGACCCCACAGATCTCTGCATGTCTAAGTGGTGCAGCAGGTCACTAATTATTTCCCCGTGGATTATGGGGGCTTCATTCTGCTCCTCCCCACCCCTTCCAGCTCAGCGGGCTGGGGACCCCAAGAACAACTGGTCTGACTATTAAATACTGAGGCACAGAAGGTATTAGTATAATACACAGTAGCCACAAGCCAATCTGTTTCACGTGCTTCACTTACAAGTCCCAGAATCAGTCCAGAGAACAGAGTTGCCAATGCAAAAACAGCATATGAGCCCCAGACTGGTATCCCAACCTTTTCTGTTAAATAACCATGGCAGTGCTGGAATAAAAGACAAGAGAATCATTTCAAGAACAGCTGAATATCATGTCTATTAAGATTATTTTATCTTAATAAAAGAAGAGGTCTGAGCACATACCCTGATCCACATTGACAACTGAAACAAAGCTGACATACTGCTCATCCTGAAACAAAGCAGAGAAAAAATAACTGAAAATATCTTTAAGTCAGTCACATACCTTTATATTCTGATTTGCCTGACGGGTCATTATTTAGCCCCATGCTGAACAACTTTCTGCTCATTTCTGGTTTCCCTTCTAACTACTGTGTCTTCTGTTTTGTCTTTCCCATGAGGCTACCTTCGGTACCAACATCAGCTTGTATAACATTCCACATAAGGACAACTACAAAATCACCAATGGCCTTGACTTGGATCTGTTGACATACGATTTTCTGTTACTTTTGTGTATGTTCTAAGTAGTACTTGAGCCAAGAGTCTATGAGAAGTTACCTGGAACTCTCAATATCTTAAGAATTAAGCATCTGGAGATAACCTATTTAAAAAAAATCAGGTTATTGAAGAACTGAGAGCTCTTCAGACACTTAAAGTTGAGCTGTATTTTACATACAAGTGAAAGAGACCAGGCTATCTGCCATGTATATCCTGCCAATTCTGACATTTCCCTGCTACTGTGAGACTTAGCATTAAATATTCACTATCTTTAAAGGAAACAAGAATTAGAAACTTTATGTCAACCTAAGTTGCTAATGAGAGATCCATAGAAGCAGCACTGCATACTGTTTCAGTACACTCAAAAAATAGAGCTGGTCATGTACACTTGTAATAGAAAACTTATTAATCCTAAAATTAGTGTGCCATTTCACACATCCCTTGGTGTGGGCTAATACTTTCTAGACCAAGCACACAGTTTGAAGATTCAAATAGCACTGAGAGTAGACAAAGTAACAACGCTGAATTTCCTAGAAGAGCCACAAGAAATGTAAAATTTCAGTCTAGCATAACACTTCATAAACTGAGCACTGCTATAGCCCTTAGCATAGAGGTGTTTCAGCTATCACTGCTGCAACAGAAGAAAAACCATGAGCAATTGGGTTTATTTGCCTCAACCAATGGTGTCTCCAGCATACTTTACCACTCAGTTACTCAACTACTCTGAAACCACCACAGAACACAAATAGCAACAATTAAAAGCACTGCAAAGCCACAGAACTAGAAAGAATCCCAAAGACGGTGTTTCTTCTCAGACTAAGGAGCCTCCCCACTCTTCCTTAATGTATCAATTTTCACCCTTCCACTTTTTTTACCCTTGCTACAGATACATCTTCTTAAATGGCCAGTCCATACTTTACAACTATGCTGCTGAAAGTTATTTTATTGCTACTTTCCTATAGTTTATCTAGGCAAAACATCTTACTGCTGTATAAGCAAAAAAACTGCAAGTGTCAGTAAGTTACCTACAGGAGTTTAGTAAAACAACACAGCTACCTACAACTATTTGAAGCCTTGAAGCAAACCTTGCCCAGGACATTTCTGCTATGCTCGTGCAGACAATCCTCTCACAGCTGATGGAGGAGACATGACCCAGCACATTCACACACTTCTCACAGACCCACTGCCTGAGCTGTTAATGAGGAGGCAGCACCAGGTGCGGCACACCTAAGGACCTGTCCCAGCACGTCCTTAAGTATAATGATTTGCTGTCAAATATTTACAAAAATCCTACCAAAACTTACAGGAAAGAAGAAGGACCAAACCATGATGAGACTGGTTCAATGGATTTCCATTCCTGCTCACTGATGAAATTTATGAAATCAGTTTTAGTTCTTGCACCCTGGTATCTCCTGAACTCTCCATCTTTACAGCTGTAAACCAAAAAAAGTCCTTTATTTTAAACAGTCCAAGCAGGCACCATTTATTTCCATTCAACATCTTCCCACCCATCACCCTACCTTTATTTTTTTTTATTTTGCTTTAAACAATATCGGCTCTAAAATGTTTTCAAGAAAACTTGACTATAACTATTTCTAGCATCTTGACTCCACGTGTATCTTGGCAAGGTTCAGGTTGCAGTTGCACAAAAAGATAATGATCTTTCTAATGCACTTGTCACACGACTGCATTGAGAACAGCCCACAGAGAAAAGATTGCAAAACAGAAGCACCCACGAAAAGGCAGAATAAATAAGGCCTGAAGGGAAAAAAAAAAAATCAACTGACAGTACTGTAAGGTCACAGCGAGTAAGACAGTGGTTGTCTTGGCGTGAAGTAACACACATTCTTAAAGTGCATGGTTAATCTCATTCATCTGCCCCCCCCCAAAATGGAAAAAAAATGTCCACTCTTCTCCAAATAATCCTGCTGCATTGCATACTTACTGATAGATGGTAGGAAGAGCTGTTATGATAAATCGTCCACTTAATCCTGTAAAAAAAATAGTTATTTTCAGAATAGTAGAGCACTCATGTAGGAACATGAAAGAATTATTGTTATTACACGGCAAAATAAAAACAGCTGCTTCCCCAGGTATCACATTTTAACTGCAATCAAACAGAAACTTTGATATGCACAAGTACTGCACAGAGTCTAAAAGAAAAGGTCCATGGACAGAGAACAAGAAAGTTTCTCGCGGAGGAAAAAAGAGATGTTTGGGGATAACTGTTCTACTTGACTATTTTGGCTGTATCTCTTCAGAGATGCTCTCCTTTTTCCCCATGACCTGCAACCTCCAGCGCTTGCAAAAAAATAATCCAAGTGAGGCAGGTTCAAAAGTTCTTACGTGACTTGAGATAAAAGTGACACCATGGAGAAGGTAATTTTTACAAATCCCATACAGACAGGAGGGCAATTCAGAGAGGTGAGCTTCAGCTAAGGGATATAAGGCTGTCTGCTCTCCCTTTTGCCAATAAATGGAGATACTACTACAGGGAAGGCTGGTACCCCATCTTTGCTCTATGATACTTTAAAAGCATGGCCAAAAATCTCCTTGAAACCTTCCAAATCATTCCCTAGAGAAATCTTCTTGTACTCTTTAACTACTAAGAAAGACTAAAGCATTTAGTCTACATACAGAAATCTACCTTAGGTAGAGATTAATAAAAGAGCTTTATTATTCCCTATTAATACTGCTTATTTCATAAAAGCACATACACTTTCAACGAGTATTTTCTCCCGAGCGTTCAGAAGCCCGAAGCCACGGGGAAGGCGTTGGGAGCGCACAACATCCCCCCACTCGCCAGACCCTCACCCGGTTGCTCCGTGACATCCACTTTGGCGATCTTCACCTCCAGGTCCTCGCCCCACTCGGCAAACTTCTCCCACTCGGGCTGCAGGTTCTGGCAGGCGGGACACCACGGGGCATAGCTGCAGGCAGCACAAATCCGTCACTACACGACGCCGATCAGGCCCCACGGCCTCCGAGTGGGCCGCTAACAGACACCCCCCCCACACCCGCCGGGCGCCAGCAGCCCAAGCGACCCCCTCCCGACTCACAACTCCACCATCCACTCGCCCTGCAGCAGCTCCCGCCACATGCCGTCCGACAGGACCTTCACCGGGCTCTGTTTTCCCAGCGCGGCCGCGCCGACCGCCAGCG